GATTTCAAAGCGAGCAATGGCAACACTGTACGGAAAAAAGAACGTTCTTATCTCCATTGCGCGAGACTGTGTATCAGAAATTCTAAAGATATGCTCATTTAAAAATTATTTTGCGATCTTGCTGTTGAACTGGATTTTACGGTTTAAATGCCGAGGACATGATATTTAATAAATAAAGGTAACGCATAAAATGTTTAAAAAACGCCCCTTTGTGCGTAATTTAAAATCTGAAACCTTTCAGATTTTTATTTTTTTTAATTCATAAGTTTCATACTACATATAAAATGCACTGATTTTACTAGATGTAAAATGATGTTTCATACTAGATATAAAATGCTATGATCTGAAAATATTACTTATTACTTATTTTTTATAAAATAAATGGTATAACCATTATTATTCTATGTACAGAGTGTTTCACATTGAATGGAACAAAAAAAGAGTAACACATTACAAATTCTGTAATTGATTTATTAAGCCGAAACAAATTTAATTCTGAAAATACAATTATACAACTTTTATCTGGCAACAGCGAAAATTCTTCTGGTTATGAATTCGCAGCTGGAGGCACTGTTAATCAAAATGGAGGTATCCATGCAGGAGAAAGCGTACTCTGTTTCGGAATGCGCCAAAACATTATCTGTTATTTTCATTCAAAGACATTTTCGCACGAAATTTGGTCAAGAACTACAGCATCGTCGCAATATCGAACGACGCGCGAAGCAGTTTCAGAAGTTGGGCTTCTTGTGTGAGAAAACCAGCCCGGGACGTACAGCAGCCAGAACCGAAGTGGTTGAAAAATTTTGTCAATTTTTTAAAAAGTTCGACAAAATCAACGCGTCATGCGAGTTCTGAACTCATTGTGTCTCGTGTAGCGCCGTGGCTTGCATTATGGAAGCCTGTACAATTTCGACCATGTACCTTTCAGATTGTGCAAGCGTAAAAACTTTCCGACAAACCGTTGAGTAAAGCTTTCTGTTATAATTTGCATGATAACCTGGAGGACGGACTTACGAACGGACTTGTGTTTTATGGTTGAAGCCACTTTTCATGCTTCTGGTGAAGATAATCGCCATAATTTACGATTTTGGGGGACGGAAAATCCATGTGTTATAATGGAACATGAACGTGGTTCTCCAAAGTTAAACGTCTTCCGCCCTGTTTATTACACTTGTGTTTTTTGGTCCTTCTTTCATTCGTTAAATGTAGATTAACGGGCACATTTACCAAGATCTGTTATCAGAGTGTTTGTTCTCTCAGTTGGGGTAAACGGCTCCTGGCTTCATTCTGCAACAAGACGTTGCTCCACCACATTGGCATAAAAACTTACGAACGATACCTGAATATAGTTTATCCCAGCGATTCTCAACCTGTGGTACACAAGAGAAAAAATAGGTGGAATGCAAATTAATTTTAACTACTAAATTCAAAAATCTCGGGAAGAAAAAAGAACAATTGATAGACAATTCCTATGATCGAACTCTAACAGAAGATTTTAAAAATAGCACACTTGTTAATTTTTGGCTGAACCGAAAAAAAAGAATTTAAAGACATTTCAAATAAAGCTATTAAATTTTTATTGCCTTTGTGCACAACCTATTTGTGTGTACAAGGATTGTCTTTCATGTTATATTTGAAAAATGAATACAGAACAAAATTAAAAGTGGATCCTAATTTACGGTTAAAACTAAGTGAAATGACACCAGACAGACATAAAGAAATTGGTCTTTCTTAAACAGACCCAAATTTCGCATTAAATTTTAGAATTAAATTATTATAACTTAAATTTTGCTAGTAAAAATGGTAATCAATTTTTGATCTAATATTCTTTATGTGTTCAAATTTAAAACAAATAGCCAATAGACTGTGCAAATGGCAAAACATTTTTTTAAAATATTTCTATTGGGAAACTGAAAACTAATCATTGACAAATGTACTAGTGGTACTAATGTTTTTCAATTTTCTGAAGATGGCACGCGTTAGTCAAAAGGTTGAAAACCGCTGGTCTATCCGATGGAACCAGGGATGGGGTAGAGCACCTGAATGATAATCTACCTCATACCTGGATTGACTATGCTGGGTCGAATGATATGCCACTGCTTTGTTAGCCACCGAGATCCCTAGATCTAGGCCTTGTGGGTTTTCTCTGTGAGGTTTTGTTAAAGACAAAGTGTTCGAGAAGAACATACAGCAACAGAAGAAATGAATAAATGAAGTGCTTTATCATTAACAAAGGATGTTCTATCAAGAGCGTATCTGGAACTGGAATATCACATAGATATTTGCCATGTCACCGGAGGGGCACGCATAGAACATCTATCGAAACTAAGATAACTATAGTTTCTCTAAAAATTTGATTTATCAAAATAAAGTAATTGCAGTGGAGAGACATTAGGTATTTTTGAAAGCAGGCAAGATGAAAAATCAGCAATCTCCTTCGCCGGAAATCGAACCACGGACCTCTGAAACACCAGCCTAATGTTCAGAACCACTACAATACGAAAGCACGCTAGGACTGCGGGAGAAATACCTTATATACTCCCCTTTTTAAAGGACGACTGGTTTTTTTTAGGGGACCCAATCGCCAAATCCTGGGTGTGGAGAATCCTCATCCAACACCCTTTTAGTTCGGTCGTCGCTGTAGATACACATTAGGATATTTTTTGAAGAATGAAAAATGAAAAATAGCAAACGCCTTCGCCGGGAATCGAACCACGGACTTTCTGAAATACCGGTTCAGTGTGTTGACCACTACACCGCGAAGGCACGGTAAGAAGGTGAGAGAAATACCTCATAACAGGTATGCTTTCGTTTTGCCCCTTTCAGTATGAAACATCATGTATTATATTTATTGATACAATACTTAAAGAGGAAATATAACATTGTAAGGTTCCAAACCTTGAATGTACTGCAATGGGTTTGGGATGTTGAGAACTGTTAAGCGAATAATCGCTTAGTTCAAAATGATAGAAGCATAAACTTATGAAGGGTTGAATACCCTTTATTATTCAAAATAAATTTAACAGGCGTCTCCTTTCTTGGAGTTTTACAATAAAGCCTCTACATGGGCTTGAACTCAGGACTTCTATTCAACATTAAAAGCTTAACTAAAAGATATAGCTGAAGCTATCAAGATTCTTGGCCCCTTAACGCTAAATAACGGCGAAGCTATCAAGGGCCTAAAGTACGGCCGAGAGAGTATAGCCAAAAGCTAACACTCGCTGCATAGAAAATCTGGCTCTCTCTCGAAGTCAGTAGAACTTCACAGTTAAATACTTCTTCTCCTCATTTGCATTCAACCACGTTTCTGAAAACACGTTCTGGCTGAAAGTTGTAAGCTTGAAATTAAGAAAAGAGAGGAAAGTAACTTTTAACTAAAATTTAACTGTTAGAAAATTAAGATAATCCTTACAACATATACAAAATCATTTTTTTAGGTTCTTTCAATTTTCATTAAGTGCGCTAACATAGAATTCTAAAGAAGAAAAATGTCAGTCAATCAGTTTTGGTTTAAATGCAAACTTTCATAATTATATTCTTTCTGATCAAGCGTTTGCTAAGAATAAATTTAAGTCACAGAGATTGTTACATCTCAACCATTTTGCTTCTCGTTTTTAACTGCAGTTTCCTAAGCTTTTAATGTTGGGTAATAGACGAACCTATCTGTCACTTTACTTAAAACACTATCTAAAATGTCTCAGAAGGAAAGATTACAAAATAGAGATTGAAACAATGATATCGCAAACATCTATTCACTATTTTAACGTCAGTCATACGACGAGCAAAGCCACTGCTCAACAAAACAGTAGGTTACTTTTTCACAGAATTACTCACATATTTTATAGAAGGAATGAAACATCATTGCCATATCCTTAGCTCTAATATACAAGTTTCAGTTCATTTAGCAATTAAACATATATCTAATCTAACCTATACTACTGTAAGTAACACAAAAGTACAGTAAAGCGAACGGACATTTACCTTAAAATTCGCAAAAAAAGACAAAATAGTTCTTTACTCGCACCATATTCCCCCATGCAGGCTCTCGTGGTGTAAGTGGTTAACAAGTTCAACTAGCACTGGAAGATCATGGTTAGAATCCCAGTGACAGCTTAGCTGATTTTCTGACTGAGAAAAACCGTAATATCTCTACTGTGGCGCCCGAATTTTCTCTCAACGTTATGGACCTAAAATTCCGTAAGAAAAGGTGGCTTTCGCATTCATTATCCATGAAACTTTTTATCAGATTTTAATATTCAGGTTGGATATATATTGGAAGAAAAGGAATCAAGGTACAGAGTGACAGTGTTTTTTTAATTATAATTAAGAAAATATCATTTATTCGTGATATTTTGGAGGAATCGTGAAATTTCAGAGTTAATCCTTAACGCTCGGATGGTTAACATACGGTGGAGGATAATTCGTTACCACCTGGATTACGTCAACTGGGTCTACCGTTTCTTCTAAGTCCTTTTTAAGCGGGAGAGAATGTGAGGTATTATCATACACTCCCTCTACGCTGTTGTAGTGTAAGTGGTCAGAACGTTCAGCTGTCATTTGGAGATCCCTGGATCGAATCCAGGCGAGGGCATAGCTGATGTTTCATGCTTCTCGTTCCGACAAAGCTTACGTGTCTACAAGTTCTTTTAAAGGCATTTGAACACGGATATTACCACTTGCAATTACACATTGTGCAAGCTATATTAATTTCAAGCGTAATACTAAAATAAAGTATGTTAGAAATCCCTGGATTTCTAGCTTACGTATTTCTGTGAGTATATATTTTAAGATTAAATAGATGTTAATATTTACTTACATCCTATGTTGCCATGCAAATAAAATAAGATGACTAGAGTTTGGATTTTTTTTTCCCCCAGTGAGCAAAATTGTCTAAACCAACCATTCAAAGACATTTTATTTGTAGCCAAAATCTACAACCAGATGAGGAAAATGCAAGTTTGTAAAAGAAATAAAAAGAAAAACAAATAACTTAATCATACCTTTACATTCTTTTCCTTCATCGTCCCAGTACATTTTTGAAAAGCACCTACAACTTCGTAATCTTCGATCGTCTGAGTACGTACATTTTCCCCTATGGCAGAGGCCTCCATTTTCATGAACAAAGCATTCATCTTTTATTGCACATGTTACTCCCACGTACCCATGTTTGCACGAGCAGGAGAAGGCTCCAGGAATTGCGGAATTGTCCAGACAAGTGGCGCCATTTTTGCAAGGATTTGATGAACACGCTGTCCAATTCGACGCTGAAGAGAAATATGTAAAAAATAATTGCAACAGACTTATATTTACTTGTTCGATGATACACTTGAAACCTATTCACAGGAAAGATTTTCAGTAGAGCTTCGATTACCTATCATCTTAACAACCGTAGTTTTGTCGGATAAAAAACAACAAAAATTACTAGTAATCTATACAGGAAATTGCTTTAATATAACCTTTCACTAGAACAGGGATGGCCAACGCACGGCTCGCGTGCCACGTGTGGCATATAGATTCCAGATATTCCTGCAGATATAGGCCTATATCTGCCCGTGTTTGGGTGACAGCAAAAATTCTGATCAGATCGCGTCACCCGTATTTGGATGACAGCTCTTTGAGTACTTAGTATTTACGAGGTAAAATAGGTATTTGAAAAAAATTATTATTCATTGCTGAAAGAAATAAATCAAAATTATTGTTGCCATCAGCTAAATTCATTCCGTACCACTGTATTTATCAGCTTTCGAATCAAAATCTGAAGATGTAATTTTGTTTATAATTACCTTTTTGATAAAAATCTCAACCTGTTCCTCATCGCTGAATTTTTATTAGCTTCGCAGCAGATTTCTTCTTCACTGCTATACGATTCACATAAAAATTACTCTTCCATTTTTCTTTTAAATATTGTGAAAATTTGGGGCAACAAATAAAACGCAAAAAAATTTCAACCATTTGTCACTACAAAAAATATATAGTATTTGAAAAAGTAAAAAATAATTATTTACTCTCATACCCTTTCTTAGATATTCGTTAAGGAAAGATTTTAAACTGAATATATATCTCAAAATATTTATATCTAGACTTTCTAAACTTCTGCAATCCGAAAAAATTGACGCATGGTATAGTAGCGCTACAGGCCTAAAAGGAGATTTTATATAAGCAATATAACATTGCTTTCACATTAGTGTAAATCAATTTTATTACCCCAAAACGTGTTAGCCAAAAAGGGCTATTAATCTCGAAATGGCAATATGCTTTGAATCACTCTAAATGTCTGCATCACTTTCCAAAATATTGCCACCAAATAATATCGCCCTGTATTATATTTAAAGAAATTAAATAATACAGAAAATGCACGAATGTACATGTCTCTCGTATTGTGAAAAAACAACGGCACCTAGAGCTATCAAATTTTGAATAACGTAATCCTCCACCCGAACATGGGTGCCTGGAAGGGGGAATTTTGAATTTCGAATTTGTTTCATTATCTATTTCATATTTTGTAAAACAAACGAAATTTTGATTAAAGAAGTCAACGATTTCAAAGCGAGCAATGGCAACACTGTACGAAGGAAAACATTTTTATCTCCAGTGCGAGAGACTATCTATTGGAAATTCTAAAGATGCGCTGTTTTTAAATATTATTATTTTGTGATATTGCTGTTGAATTGAATTTTATGTAGTTTAAGTGCGAAGATCCTGATATCTAATAAATAAAAATACCACGCAAATCGTTAAAAAAAACTCTCCTTTGGGCTTAACATAAAATCTGAAAGCCCTCAGATTTTATTTTTATTTTTTTATTTAAATTTTGTTCTACTTTCTTTTTTAATGGAGCAACTACCTTATTCATCTTCATCTTATACAAAGCTTAAAACAAATACATTTTTGCAAACAATTTGTTGAACTTTACAGAATGCGTACTATCGTTAAATTTAACATGCATCACAATATAGTCCTTTTCTGTTGTAAAATTTTCATAGAGTGCATTGTGTAAAGACATAAGATTTTTATTTTCTAATTATATGATTTTAGTATTGCAGTCTGAAAACAATAAACCTGCTTCATGATTTTAATGCGCTGCAATCCTGTTTGCATTTTATTCGTATTCCTCCAGGTTTGTAAAAATAAATAACTAAATACATTCGTAAGAAAAGAAAAGGAAGGAAAAAAGTTTTGTTTAACGTTCAGCGACTCTAATTTAATAACCTTCTTCCACAGTTCTACGTTCTTCGGCATTCCAAACCTCGAACTAAAACTCATTCCTATTTTTATGTAGTAATCGGGCGAATTATCAGGCCAGTGTGCAATCAGTCAGATTTTTCGGTGCTCAAAACTGAAAGTTTCTTATGCTCCCTCTCGGCAAAAAGACACTGAAGGTGCAGAAACTGACTTAATGCACTATTCTACAAAGGGCCTCCAATGTAAACCAATGGCGGCTTCGCTAAGGTTAGCTGCACTACTTAATCATTTAAATTGTTGATTGTTCTACAGCTATTGCATGCAGATTAAATGAAGGCATAAAAAAAACTTAACCGGAACATAACAATGTAATTAAATCACTTTTAAAGCAAAGATGCAAAATTTACCAACAATAAAAGAATAAAAAAAAACTCAGCTGACCGAGATGGGTAATAGAGTGGGTATATATATATATGTGTGTGTGTAATAAAAGCAAATTTCAGAGAAGTATTGATGTAAGAACACTGAGATGTACAAATGTAGCAATGTTGTTGGCGTAATGCCTACTGTAGAATAAACTTGGTAGCCAAATAATATTAAATTTCATTTTTATTTTGAATTGACATTTGTGGCCACAATTCACTTGGCACACTAATCGAGCCTATTTCCAGAAAATTTAAATTTTTGTTGCGTTTGCGATAGAAAGGGAGCACAGCGAAATTACGTCCCAACAGCGTAGAGAAATAAGCTAAAGTGCGTAGTTAACCAATATGGCAGACTGTTAAGAGAAAGGTTTTGGTTTAAGTTCTCAAAGTTTAGGTTCCCAAATACTACGTTGTCAGCGTTACGCAAGCTTCGTGGCACAGATTGATCCCGAAATGTTATTATTATTTTTGGAATGAAGAAGGGAGTTAATAGTCTATTAATTTATTATTTGAAAGACTTTAATAAGATGACTTGGTGAGAAAAAGTTGCAACCGGATTGCCGATTGTTTTTTTGCTAACTTGCAGATGTTATACTGCGTAGTTAGAAAGATGACAATCGAAGGCAGACCTAGCGGTACATTCCACACATAATTTTGTTCCTTGATAATGCACATCATCACTGTGAGTGCTTTATGCACCCCACAACTTTATACAGCTTATGTCTTCTTAATCAATGGACTAAATTGGAGAAATAAACTCTGCGCGGCTAGCGGCAAGGCGAAGCATCGGAAAAATGCAGAAGAGAAGAGAGAAGAGTTGCGACGCAATAACCTTTTATACTGGATTACATTTCAGATCGCATGACACATTAATGTCCAGAAGTTGGGTCCAAATTCCATCGATAACTGCGCAATAGAGATTAGATGATGGATCTTTTTACAGAATTGCAGGATGTTTAGTTAGAAAAATTATTGCTTTGTTATTTTTAGAATGAAAACGGGTGTTAAAGGGCTATTATTTATTTGTTATTTGAGAAATTGATATTTTATGTTTTACATGTATATATTTATATACCTTTGGTGCGGGCCGATTGCAACCAGAAAGGGAGGTGCGCGACTACGTTTTATAGCAGTCACACATACAAAATTTCAACGTTCTGAGGCTACTCGTTTTAGAGTTATATGACATACGTACAGACATCAATGAAAACAAAAACCCTTCTGAATCCATTTTTGGAAAAAGAGTCCTTAATTCTGGTTCGTACGTACTGATTTCATGCAAAAATGTCGTTCGAATGTGTTCGTATGAGGTCAAATTAAATATTTTCGTTGAAATATGGTACCCGAAATTTTCGCTGTTACAATACTTCCTTTACTTCGTACAAAGAAATAAAAAAAGAATTTTCTTGTTTGTTATACCATTTTTCTTTCCATTTCCACAGTATGCTAACATACTACATTTGCATCATATTTATGGAACATATTTCTGACTCAACATATATGATAAAAAAACCAGTCATCTCCTATCATCGTCTCCTATCATTGAAAAAGAGATAAGTACTCATCATACAAATTTTCATCATTTCGTAATTCCTGTCAAAATAAGAGAAGTAGTACACTAGAAGTTGACTTAAAATTTCAAGATCTGCTTCAAAATATATATTCATAGGATGGTATTACTTACTTGGTGGAACTGTTTCTTTTTCTGTTGAAGAAACAGTTTTTGTTGTAACTATGATTTCAGTTGTTGTGGGCTGTTCCTCTGGGAAAGTAGCATTCTTGACTGTTGTTTCTGGTGTTGCGGTGAGTATGATGTCTCCTTCGGTATCTAAGGAACAAATATTTAAAGAGCCTTTCACATTCCTACAGGGTAATGTATATTTTTTTTTCTTTAATACAAATACACAAAAAATGACCAATATATTAAGGAAAAATATATTTCATATCACATTTTTATTTCAAATATCCCAAGTAGCACACGACGTTGCAAACTGGTCCGAGAGGTTGCAAAGTGGTCGTGGTAACGTTTGCGACGTCTTTACAACGTTGCTAAGACACAAAATATTTGCTGTTGCATCTTGGCAATTTTTCGACGTCGTTGAACCGTCATGATATGACCGCTTTTAGACGTGGTCGTTTTAGCATCTTTTTCATAGTTCATCAGCGTTACTTTTAGAATAAAAAGAGAGTAAATCTGTCCTTTCAAGAATCTGAAGTTCTCATAAGATTTACTCTGCAATGTTTCATTACTTTATTTCATCTAAATATATATTAATCTAAGGTAGATTCATCTAAAGAAATATAAATTTAATATAAACACTTTTGATTTATTAAATTTAATTAGTACTAAAAATACTTCCTAAAGAATTGTTTAAAATTCTATTAAAATAATTAATACTTAAATATTTTTTATAAATATTATAGCAAAATTTTTTAAAAAGGAAACTATAAAGTAAGTTATTAAGTTATGCATTTTATATATTTAAAAAAATCTTATTTCCGAAATCAATGCCAATCACATGTTTGCAATAATTTCACTACTGAAATATGACTTTATTTATTATTTTTGAAGTAAGGATGAATTTATTTGAATTAATATGGTGACATTATATGAAACATTTTACTGCATACAGTGCAAAAAGTACAATTTTCGTAAAGATATGATTGTGTATGAAGATGTATTCACGGATAAAAATGGGGCGATTTTAAGAATTCGAAGAAAACGGCCAATGTTAAAAGACGATGCATATTTAACGGCTGTCCAATATATATGACGGAAAACTCATCGACAGTCAAGAGAAGCAGAACGGTACATTCATTATTTACTGGATGCTTATATAAACGAACATCTCGAGATTTCGCGCTTTGGCTAGCTGCCAAATTCGATCAAGTAGCTGCACAATTAACTGAGACTCTAGTAGTTCTTTCATAGTTCTTTCATAGAAGTAATTTGGTAAAGATGCCATCTGTAAGGTGTAGCCTGACTTTATATTTGAAATTGAATTGTGTGTCAGAATACCTATATCTTAGAACAATACTATACATAAATCTAACATATATCTTAAGTCGCGCTTTCGAGACATGAAAAATGCAAGTTAAATTCCGTCAATCTGGCCAGTAGAACAGATAATATAGATCTGGCCCATTGTTTTGGCGCTAGGTGTATATTTAGCATTAATTCTACGTACTATAAATAATTGTTGCTGTTGTTAATGCTCACTTGTCTGACCTACAGCGCAAATTCACGCATGTCGTTGGCAACAGCCTTGAGCACCTTACAGATGACAGTGCCATTTAGCTCAATTCCGCCCCCAGTTTTGATGGAGAGCACCCCCGGGGGGACAGGTCGGAGAGTCTCCTACCCCTCTTCCCTTACCAACAACCTCTCGAAAGGACTTTCGGCTCGCCCTTTGGCACGAGAATCAGCGATGCTAAACACTATACCAGTTGGGCATCACGTATTATAGAGCAGAAGGCAAATAATAGATCTCTGGAATATTAATATTTTCACTTAGATTCAGGAAACTTTCCTAATAAAACTTCTTTTGGTCATACCTAGTAAAATATTCCTTATCAGGAGAGATCCTCAGACTCATCCCTCGGGTACTTTCTATCAAAACTTGCTCCGAAGCAATTACATGAAACATTTTACTTGCGTCATGCAAGTGATATAAGCCACAACAGCAGACACAAAAGCTGGTGATAAATTCAAAGAGAAAGGTGCTAATTTTATTGGACGTTACATTGATTGCATTAAAATGTTACCCCGAAGACTTGCTTCACCTTTGTCCAGGCTCTGGTGAGATAAGTGACAAGTGAGCTCAAGTGAGGCACTTGCCGCAGGTGAATCACTAGAAGGGACGCCAAATTAGCTATGCGAATTCTAAACTTGCTCATTAATAATTAAGGGAAAATAGCTTCAGTAAACTTAATAATAAAACAATATGCAAAACGTTCCTAGATTAAAAACAAAAAATTTCTAACACGCCTGTGTTTTCTATTGAATATGAATTAAGTGAAAACGTTGTTGTAGATTTTACTTCGCTAAAGGAAGAAAATTAAATTACGAGAAAACTTGAAAGTTAATGCAATGCGTTTAGTATTATTTCCTATTTATTAAAATACCTGATATAGACGCTACATGACTTCCTTGTATGTCCCACATACATTTTGATGCATCTCATTTAAACTTATTTCCTCGAATTTCTTACAGATATATTTCTCATTCAATTAACTCGGTTCTCACTTCGCGGCAAGGCAAAAACACATAAAAAATCAAAACATCTTCATTAAAAATTTTAAAATAATAAAACCTAAACCACCATATAAACTAAAACAAATAAATAAAAACTAAAGAACCAAATACAATTAAAGGTATTTAAAAAATTATTTTTACAATTAAAACTACAGTTCCTACGCAAAAACAAGCAATTTCGCCAGCGTACAGGAAGACAACACTTCCGGCGCACAAAACTGAACGTTAACTTTCGGTCAAATTGGGCAAAATCCCTGAAGTTGGTACACCATCTGATTTATTTCACTATTCTATCAAGAGCTTCAATTGTACACAAATGGCAGCCTCGTTAGGCTTAGCTATTTAAACTTTTCAGTTGTTGATAATTTTACAACTGTTGCACGCAGGTTAACTGAACACAGGGTTAACTGTTAACTGTTAAGTGCAGGTTAACTGTTAAGGCATAAAAACCTTAACCGAAACAAAAAGAACAATATAATTTAATCACTTTTTAAAGCAAAAAAAATGCACAATTTACCTTCAGTAGAGAGAGCATCTGCCATCAGTAGTTGTTGTTTGCTGTTAGTTCAGCATGAATTTAGAGTACCGAGATATCTACAGATTAACTTTGCTCTTTGAATGCGCTCTGCATTGCGTTGTGTTTAACGCTCTTAGTAATTTTGAAGAGTAACTACTGATTGTAATCTGTGATACTGTGAACACCTGTACTGTGATATTGTGTACGAGTATTTCTGCGGAAAGTTCCAGAACTCTAAAGAGTTTCTTTTAACAGAACAAATTTTATCAACTTAACATCGGACCTGTGTGCATTATGCATTCAATCTATTACGAATCCGTACGCAGGAAACAATATATAGCTAATTTGACTATAGAGAGAGGCTTTCATTTACCTTTCTGCCTTAGGTGAAAAAGAATCTAAGCACGGCTCTACTTCCTACAAATTTAGCTATTCAACTCCCTACAGTTGATTACCAACCAAAAGCATCGGAGAAGTTTCAATAAATTATTTATATTACTGGTGAATTTTAAAAAAGGGATTCTTTTATTCCAGTTTTTTATTCCACTAATTTTAATTTCATTCTTTCAAACATGTTTGCAGTGATACTGGTATTACTCGTAGTGTCATCAGTCGATATCAAATGGGCCAGCTTCTGTATAAAAGCTCCTAGCTAGGGCACGAATATTTGCAGGGTTACTCCTACTCCTTAAGAGGTTATCTATCACACATGGCTATACAGTCCCTGCTAGACGGTACTTTTCTGAGAAACGAGATTCTGGTAGCACTGGTTTAAACGGGAAGATTCTTTGAAGAAAGGGCCCCACTTGAAGCGAAGTCACGCCTAGCTACGGAAACAATGTTGCGGCTATGCGGGAGATTTTTCTAATCTCACCGAAAATGTCTCGGCTCCCTGGTAGAGACAACCAATCAGACGAAAGTTCTGCTTCTGAAGGATCACGTGATTCCGATTTGCGCGATAATCGATTACTGTTTGGCGTTCAAGTCTTTGTAGTAAGTGAGAATGGTCACCTAGCTACATGTGTTTCCTGGAATTGTGTGGGTTCTGAGAATTGTCCCTTTCGACTTCAAGTCCCGCGTAGCCGAAACATAATGTGATTGGAACTTTATAAATGCGATACCTTTTCACACTCAACACTCAGTGCAATAGTTCCCAGTGAAAGCAATAGCTCACAGTGAATGCATTGGCTCACAGTGCAATAGTTCTACTGCCTTTCATTGTGGTGCATTCCAGGCAATATTACGATTATTATGGCCATTTAAAAAATTCTGTACACAAAGATATTTATAATAAATTCGAAGAAATATAGTATTTTTCAGAAACGTCTGTTATCCAAATGAGATTTTATTAATATATTATAAAGCTTAAATGAGGAAAGCTTCACAATACTCACACGGTATGGATCTAAATATTTATTTCTTTAATGCCATAAACTCTTCTTTATTTCCCATAAATTCATAATTGCGTCATTTTCTATTTCGGCAATTTCATTTTAAAGCTTCTTTTATTCCATGTTTTCTGACATTAGATCACGAGAAAAATTTTGGTGGGTCACTAAAAGATTTGAATTCTTTTGTTAACTATGAATATTTATTTAGTTATTAATTAAATATCTTCTAAACATTGATTATTTTTATAGTTATATGTATTTAATTACTATTATTTCGTTTTTACAAGATTTTGTTTTCCTCTCCATCTCTTTTATAGAACAATTATACGCAGGTGGGTCACGATAATTTTCATCTACATATAAGTGAGACGGACGAGTTAAAATGTTGGCGAAGCAATGCTTTAGAAGTGATACACATAAATGAAATCTCGTCATTTGGGGACAATGTGATTTGTATTATTATCCCAAAGGGGCGTTTGCCCAGAAAGGTTATTAATCCCCAAACGGCATCTTGCGTCGAATCACTAAAAGCGTTGAATCACTTTTCAAATTGTTGCCACCAAATATTATCGCCCTGCATTGTATTAAAAGAAATTTAAAAAATGAAGAATCTCTAGGATATTTTTTTTTCATTGTGAGAAAAGAACAGTACTTAGAGCCATCAAATTCTGAATAACGTTGTCCTCCACCCAAATATGGTCACTTGGAAACCCGGGAATTTAGAGTTTGTTTTATTTTCTATTTCATATTTTGTAAATATTTAAAGAATTTTTGATTGAAAAACTCAAGAGTTTCAAAGCCAACAGTGGAAACACTGTACGGAATAAATTATATTTTTCTCCAGCACGCAGGACTGTTTATCGGAAATTCTAAAGATATATTGTTTTCAAATATTTTTAACCCAAAGGAGCGTTAGCCCAAATGCTCTCGAAATATGTATCTGAGTGTAAATGAAAAAAAGCGTTCCTAAAATCTGAAGCTTTAAGATTTTTTTCTATTCTTTTAGTTCCAATTTATTAATTTGAAATCTGCGCTTAAAGCGTTCCGTATACTATCTTATGATGTGCTTAGTCAACCCACAACTTATTTTCAAGATGCACAGTCTCTTGTTTAGATGTCATTATTTTCATTTTGGGAAACTGTTGATTGCAGCAAATATGACACTGGAAACGGAAGCAAAATTTGTATCCCCTAATAGCACTCTTACTGAGTGGCACCAGTTTTTGGATCTGCTCATAAAGAGCTGTTCTGAAACCACATTTAATAGCTAAATTCGTATAATTACTTATTTTAGTCTCTGTTTTTATAAACTAATGTTCATTAAGATGATATTTAAATCATTAAAGAAACTAAGAAAGCAAAGTATTTTTAAATTATAAACTAATTTCAAGCAACAAAAAAGTCGGTTATATACACAAATATAACACACATATATAATATACACAATATACACACACACAGAATATTACACATATATAACATACACAATATACACACACACAATATTGCACATATATACAATACACATATACATTACACATATATACAATACACATATACATTACACATATATACAGTACACATATATTAATATACACAAATCCATAACTACTAAATGATAGAATGATAGTACTAAATCAATTGAAATTTTCTTTTCAGGATGTAGTGACATTATTATAGAGAACTTTTATGCAATTACTATCGAATAACTTCTGTTATTAAGATATAAAAAAATGAAATTAATAAACCTTTAATGTCACCTTATTATAGCTTAATAACGGAAGCTATTCGATGAAATATGTACTGTTTTTATTCAAGTTATGGAATAAATTAGTCTATTAGTTTTTATCGGACATGTATATTTGTACTCATTACAGGTGGGCAAAATAGCTCCTTTATGGGATAAAATCAGTACCGCTCGGTGAATAGTATTTCCTTACACCTTGCCGCATATTAACAATATCCTCACTAGCAAGTTCTAGGCCACTAATTTTGAATGGTGGAATAGTACTTCTTTTTTATGCCTCTCCGCTCACTAATAATATCTTTGATGCATAAGATCAGGAAAGGGAAATGAATCGACTAACTCCTTGGCCTGATTTCTTTCAACTATACTTAATTTTTTTTAATACTAAACGTTAAAGGTTAGCGCTCCTTCTTCGTCAGTATTTAATATTATTATGACGGCAATTCAGTTAATAATTTCGTCCTATTTATTGATAAGCAGAATAATACTGGCTCATACATAACGGTATTTGAGTTAATAATTTCGTCCTATTTATTGATAAGCAGAATAATACTGGCTCATACATGACGGTATTTGAGTTAATAATTTCGTCATATTTATTGATATGCAGAATAATACTGGCTCATACATGACGGTATTTGAGTTAATAATTTCGTCATATTCATAAGTAGAATAATACTGGCTCATCATTAAAAATGCCATATTTTTATTATCAATATTAAGCATTATAGTCACTCTTTAATATGGAATAATTATATATATATTCAACAATTGCGGTAACATATTCATAAAAGATGCATTATATCGAATATGTCTTTGATATATTTGCTTTCTATTGAATGAGTGGGGATCTTACCAGGTTCCGTAGCATTTGCGCTGTTATTTTTTAGATCAAGAACTGTTGTAGAACAGCATATTGTAGTAGTATGTTCTAGAAAGCAAGAAAAATATAAAATTTCAAAATCAGGTCAATCAACGAATAACTAAATTAAAAAACTAAAAATTCGAAAATTCAAAAGATTATTTCTTAAAAGAGAAATTTTCGTTGCCTTAATCGCCGAAAATCTCTAGAATAATAATAAAGAATAATCACCAACAAGAAACTTATTACAAAAATAATACAAATCACCAATATTACAAGAATAATACAAGTCACCAATATTACAAGAATAACGCAAGGAAATATATTACAAGAAATCACCAATGATCTTCCAATATTTTTCTCCACATAACTGATTGATGAAAATATTTCACCGTGCAAGAAATTATTAATATGATTTTTAAGAATTTTAAACTGAGATTTATAAATTTTTAGGTTATCATATTAGTAACTATGAAACTTTTAAATTTATTAGAGCTTCTATTATCCGAAATTTTTGGAGTCAAACCTGTTTAAAATGCCATTTCTTCTGAATAATCCATGATAATAATCTTCAGTACTTTGTAAGGTCTCGTTTAGTTTATTAACCAGTTATTGTGTGTTAATAAACTACTTCCTGTCTTCCTCGTTTCCCATTTTCCAGCCAGAATGTAAATATCTAGCTCGCGTGATATTCAAATGTGTAAGAAGGAGATAGCATTTAAAGAAAGGGTTTAGAGGGTAGAATTAGAGCGTGTTCTGCCTGCTGAAGGCCACGTTGCTAATCTAATTCTCTTGACGTTATTCTCGCCATTAGGCTTGTCCCGCCGACCTTACGTCAGAGCCAACTTGTGCGTTGCTCTATCTGTATAGCCATTAGACTAACATTAGGCCATTAGGGTTTTACTTAGTTAAGTCAGATTCAATACCTTTGATTTAAGCCATAAATACTGGATTCTGCAAGCATAAGTGAAGCCATCAGTTAATTGAGTTAAATAAAAGGGTTCATTACACCCTTTCCCTATCACCGTGGTACTTTAGAAGACATAATAATAATTCTCTTTTAAATTGTAACGTCTTATATGCTTGGCTATCATAAAATGTACTCTATGTTAAAAAAATATGTAGTGAATAATCACTAAGTCTTTAAAAGCACTACAAAGTCAGGAGAAAGAAGTAAAGAACCATTTATTAACTCAAATCGGTATTAACAGCGGCACCAACTAGTGCTTACAAAAAGGCCAGCAATTTTTGGCTGAACTCAAAAAGGTAGTGAATAACTTAAAAAGTAATGAAGTTAAATATAACCTAACAGCGTTCCAGGATAACTTTCGAGTAAACTGGTTCTGACTCAAACATCGGCGTAAATAAGTCTAAACTCAAAAAGGTAATTAATAACTTTAAAAGTAATGAAGTTAAATATAACCTAACAGCTTCTCATGTTAACTATCGCGTAAGCTCGTTCTGACTCAAACATCGGCGTAAACAAACCTAAACTCAAAAAGGTAATGAGCAACTTAAAAAGTAAGAATTTAAATACAGCCTAAAAGCTTCACAGTTTAACTATCGCGTAAGCTGCCTCTGACTCATCAAACATCAGCGTAAACAAGCCTACTGGAAAGAATAACTCAACGCCGCAGAATTATAATCGCTATAAAATCAAAGACAGCAACGTGGCCTTCAGGCAGGCTAAACACGCTCTGATTTCACCTTCTCAAGCCTTCCCTTAAATACTAACTGCTTTCTATCTCATTTCAATAACCGAGCGCTAATCAACTTGCATTCTGGGAAGAAAGTGTGAGTTGAAAGCAAGAGCGACAGAAAAGGTGTTTAACCCTAAAACATGCGGTTAAGTCAATTAAATAAATCCTCATAAAGTCTTAAATCGTTTCACACATTTTATGTTCCCAAAGACTACGAAACGACATAAATTAAAGGTAGAAATAAATACATATGTCGTTATCAAGACAATAAATAAACTTGCGTTATATTTACGGATCTGTACAACAATATAGTACTTGCGCCCTTCTATGTCATATAAATTATTAAGACTGTTTAGATTGCTTTATCTTTGGAGGGGGAGGTTGCTTGTAAAAATATTTGCTTCAGCAATTTAAAAGTGGCTCAATTATTATTTTAATTAAACTGTTACTTTTAAATTGCTTAATTAAGGTCCCATGTTCCATTAATGAAAATGGGAAAATGGAAAATGAAAATTAATTTATGAATGTTATTTATTAGTATAAAAATTAAATGCTTATTAAATGTTTTTATAAATGCTATATATCATAGATTCTAAAAAAAGAGCTTAAATAAAGTCATTAAAGTATCCTATAGCTAACATCAATCAGCTCGTTATAATGCTATTTTTATATTCCATTTTTCTTCCTATGAAACTAAAGATAAGTATTTTGACAAGAGAAACATTTTTAACATTTTCATGCTGCGACACATTAATCAAAACTATCAAAGCTATAACAGTATTTGTTAACAACTCATATCAGTAAACTGACTGAACATTGCTGTTTCTATAGAGGAAATCTTTAATCATACTGAATCATAATCTTCGAGCTCTGGCAACTGTGTAGGTATTCTTGCAGAAGAAAATATTCAATTTAAAAAGTGTAATATTTCATTATAACTGCCTAACAAGTAAAACACTTAATCTTTTAAGAAGAAACAAAAACACTTAATCGTGAAGTTAAAAGAAATTTATATAGATTGCTTCGGTAAAATGGTTAAGTTGAGAGTCTCCATACACGTTTACGCATAATTTTCATCCCCATATCAAGTACTAATACCGAAATAAAAAGGTGATAACGTGTATAATAGAAATTTAACTTGCATGGTTTTAATTAAATGTACTAAAATATTAAAATTAATATGTTAGTTATCATACTAGATCTTGGAGATGTGGAATTAAAAAATAAAATCATGGAGCTGTTAACAATGGCAGGTTTCAAATCGAAATCGAATCGAAATCGAAGAAATGTAAGACAACTGAATGCAATTGATTCTTATTAAAGACATTTCGGTATTACTAATTTTTCTTTGAAATTCTGTTAATATGTTAATGGTATTCATATAAACTCTGAGATTAGGAAAGTTGTTCCTTCTTTCAATCATGTTAAGTCCATTAATGAAAGATGGACTTAACATGATTACTCCTAACTAAGAGACTTAAGAGTCTCCTGGAGGGACTTGAGAGGCTATTAACGTTGTGCAATGTCCCCCCCCTCTCTCTCTCTTTCTCGCTTTAGACGTAGCTGGAAGGTCCTAAGATAAAGGTCCAACTATGTGTTTTAGACGTAGCTGGAAGGTCCTAAGAAGTAGCTGGAAGGTCCGAAGTTAAAGTTCTTAACTGATCAATCTCCTTATGGCATCTTACATTTAATGTCATTTATCGATCCTTCGTAGACCTTATGAGTCTTTTGGACGGCCTAGGCCGCACTTCCTGATGACATCACCCGCAGTTTGCAATTGATGTCATTATGTAGATACTATTATTCCAGATACTCGTTACTATCAGCTTGCGAATGACCAGCTCCATATCTCAGTGCATCTTCTAAACAACTATAAAAACAAATTTTCAAGAAACCCTGCAGACTTGTGATTTTGGCGCCCTGGCAAGAAACACAATGCTATACCCTTACTTCGAAACATCGATCCCTCTCAGAATTTTTAAGAAACATATACTCTTAACCTTTTATCAAAAACTAAATTCTTTCACTGCATTTTTTTCATTTGCATTTATATTCCTTGTTCCTCTTGTATGACACGATTATAGTGCGAAAAAAACCGACACGAGTTGTAGTGAAGTGTATACCAGAAACTCTTCTGCATAAATGGAACTAGGAACTAGTAAAATCCTCTGATTCTGGTCTCACCTCTATGATTCTGATGTGATGAGCCTTCAAACGAGAGGCACCCCTAGGTCCTTAAGTGATAAGTCCTTAAGTGGTAAGGAGCACGATTAATACCCTGCTGTACACCAGCAGGGAATTGCACCAAAACATCAAATCCTTTAACGAGATGTTTTTTCAACCAATGGCGGGCTCTCAGCCGACTTCGGCTTGCACGGAATGCACCAAAACATTAAATCCTTTGACGAGATGTTTTTTTCAACCAATGGCGGGCTCTCAGCCGACTTCGGCTTGCACGCAATGCACCAAAACATTAAATCCTTTCACGAGATGTTTTTTTCAACCAATGGCGGGCTCTCAGCCGACTTGCATGGAATGCACCAAAACATTAAATCCTTTGACGAGATGTTTTTTCAACCAATGGCGGGCTCTCAGCCGACTTCGGCTTGAGCGCTACTAAGACCAGAAGTGGTGGTCACTTTATTAGGAGCCGCCTAATAAGTGGGCCATCTTTGCCTCCTATGAAGGGACAGACAGTTACAACCATGCTTTCTCCGAGATTCGAACCCGGGCCCTTTGGTATCGCATTCGGCTCCCCTAATCACTATACCGTCTGGGTGGGGCCTTTGATGAGACGTTAACTAAAGGAAATAGTAATACGCAAAAGAGGAAAACCGTAAAATTTGCTGACGTGTATATGGTCTCGTGATTGACTGCTGAGTTACGGTTAACACCTTCATGGTGCTCATTGTAGAGTCTTTAAAAATATTTAATAAAGTGGAATTTGTAATTAACGAGCCCACCTCTATTCTTAAAACGTAAGGAATCTGTATGTATACATGTATGTATGTACATATATTTTCCGCATTGCGAAAACACACCGGCATACAGATCCGACAAATTTTTGAAAACCCTATAGCCCTCTACCCCAAAAACGTGCACCTCGAAGCCGAATTCTGAATTTCGAATGTATTTATTTATTTCATATTCTGGGAGAATTTAATGACAATTCAGTTAACAAACTGGACCATTTAAAGCAATGAGTTGCCACAGGCAAAGCATAAGATATTTATGTTTCAAACTTAAATAGAGGACTCAGCAATTTTAATTTTGAGTGGTTACTTTCTATATTTTGGACGTTTCTTCCAGCATTCGGCCCACCAGCGGCCGAGCAGTAAAGTCGCTGAAAACTGGTAGTTCGGTCCGTGGTTCGAATCCCGCGAACGGGCTGGCTGCATGGGTGTTTGCGTGGTTTTTCCCATGTGTAACGTGTATACGAGCCAGTTGCCCTTAGAAAGGCCTCCATGAAGGCATCCCTCCCCTTAGGCAGATAGCCCTAGTGTGCTTTGCCATAATTAAATACACCACACCGTACACCATCTTCCAGCATTCATGTGCGAAATGCTATTTCTGCTTTTCGAATTCTGGACTTTGCAACTGCAGCTGATTGGCTAGGTAGCTCCTGGCCCCCATATGCCTGCAAATTCGCAGATATTTATTTCCGCTCTTTAAGAGCTGACTGTCTGTTATATATAATGTAAATAGTGAACTTTTACTTGATTTTTTTTACTGTTTGTGTCCTGTATGTTTTACTTTGTATATTAGTAGTTGGCAAGGTAGGAGTTTCGGACTCGCCACCACATTCCACGTGACCAGTCTCATGCGTTGCTTTCTAAACATCGAAGCAAAAGACTTCTTCTTGTATCGCCTCTTCAATTCTACCTCGTATGGCGAACTCTCATCTTCTCATCTTAATATGAAGTTTCCATCCCAAAATCGTCCAATTCATGTTCCACAGGTGTAAGGACAGCACCAATTTAGGCGGTGAGGTGACTATATTCCCTTTTCAGGTTATTGCCGACCACCTGAATCGCGTTTGGACGAGCGTTGCGTCCATCAACAGAAATCTAGGACCAATTGAGCTCCTGAAAAGTCGAACATAGGCCTTTAAGATTTCTCTATAATTCAAGGAAACCTTTATCAAGCATATGCAGGAGTGTATGGCCATCCAACGTAATGGTCCAAACCATTACACCTCCACCACCATAATGATCTTTTTCGCTGATGAAGGACGGATCGTATCGTGTTCCAGGTTCTCTCAAGTACGCCGAGAATCACCGAATCTCGAATCATCTCGAAAAAGGAATCATGCTCCACTGAAGTCTGGTCCAAGGCTCATGTTGGCTGCACCATGCTAAACATGCTGTCTTGTGTGCCGCAGTGAGTGAGACGCAAACAGCAATTCTTTTGACATATAGTCCTATCTCATGAAGCCTTTGGCCAATTGTAGACCTTGGAAACTTGGTTCCAGATGCAGCATACAGCTGTGAAGCTGTAGCTTGTCCTATATCACCAAATAACGATCCTTATCCGTAGTTGTGGATCTTGGTCGACCTTGTTCTGGTCTTCTAGATAAGGATCCAGTGTCTTGAAACTGTTTCAATAAATCTGCATAAATTGCAGACTACAGCTGACGTTACTTTGAACTTTGTAGCCACCTGCGCTTGTATTTGCCCTGCCTCCAATCTTCCAATAGTTCTCCGTTTGATTACCTCATCCATACGTCCGTGGCTACTCATTTTACCCAATACCTTAAAAAATTCACCCAACCCTTGCTCGAAATACGTCGAATGTCGAGAAGGAGTACGAGCACAAAAATCACCAAAATCTCCTGGTATGCTTATATCCTCTGCACAATGGCAGCTCTGAAGATACACACGTGTACGCGTGCATACCTGTCCGCCTCTGAATAGGTGCATAATTTTTGGCCTCATAATTAATACCTTTGGTTCAATACTTTTCATAAAAATAGACAAACATTCACATTCTCTTAATTTTGCACAAATGTATTATTAAATACTAACTGGGGCAGTGAAATTACACTAGCTTAAAAATTATGCTTTTTGGCCCCACACATAATATTAGTATTCATATTTGAAATACATCACTTAAATTTTTTTTAAGTATGTGAATAGAAAATAATCCTTGTGAATTCAAAAAAAAATTTTTTTTCATAGCTTTCTAGCAAATAATAAGGAAATTGTTAGCTAAAGCAAACTAATAGAAGCATATTAGATTTGTTAATAAGATTTCAAATTTTATAAAAAAAAAAGTAGAAATTGATTTTAAAGAAATAGTTTAAAAGTTATTGCATTTCTCTCCTAGGAAGATTATTTAAAGTTCTTTTTTAGTTTAAAAAGAAAAAGGAAGAAAAAAACAAACCTGATCTTATGTATCCCACACTTTAATAAAACCAATTATATTAGCAAATAGGAAAAATATAGCTTGAGCCTAAAGTGAAGAAAAAATCTTCGTTGGTCTTACAAATATCAGAAATTTTAATTTTTTGAATAATTAGGTAAAACAATTTTTTATGTATAAAAATTAATATATCTCTAAACAGTGGTTGTGCAGCGGAAAGATTTTTAAAGTTCTTTTTTAGTTTAAAAAGAAGAAGGAAGAAAAAAGCAAACCTGAACCTTTAATAAAACCGATCATATTAGCAAATAGGAAAAATATAGCTTGAGCCTAAAGTGAAGTAAAAATCTTCGTTGTCTTACAAATATCAGAAATTTTAATTTTTTGAATAATTAGGTAAAACAATTTTTTATGTATAAAAATAAATATTTCTCTAAACAGTGCTTGTGCAGCGGAAATGTTCAAATGCTGTCATCCAACTATACATAAAAATTTTGTTTCTTTTACGTATTGTAACGCATTTTTAAAAATTATTTTTTAGTTTAGGATAAATCGTATAAAATTCATATATATAAGATATAAGAATTTATATACGTTACGCATGTACTTGTTCATGTGCTTTTATATAAATTATACATATGTCGAAATATACTATATTATACTCATTTATATGCATATTATACATGCACTGAAAGTTTTGAAAGATTTCATTTTCACTCAAATATACACTTTAAAAAGAGATCATTTTTATTTTATTGTAATGAAGTTTAAACTGGTAGAAATCAAGTTCAGTAATGATATTATTTTTAGAATGAGTTAAATACCGTGTAAAAAAAGTGTCATTTTCTAAGCAATGTTGTCTAATCACATTTATCATCTGGGTAATTAGCCTTAACATTAATAACATGATACAAAAAAGAATGCAAAAACATTAGATCAGCAAATTGAAGTGGCAATACGTAACTAAAAATATTTAAATTCCTAAATGCATAAAATAGAAACAATTATATATTTTCTGTCAATTTTTTTAACCCTTACGTTGCATTTTCCACAAATTCTTTGTTGAAATGAAAATAATTTTTCTACTGTTGCCACCCATTGGATAAAATATAATTTAGACAGGTTAATAATGCTTTGTAATCAATTATTTCCCAACTGAAGAAAGGAGAAATTCCACAAATAAATGAAATATACTAGAATCAATAATTACGATAATCACACAGGATTTAAATTAATATTTTCCATAGGCAATGGGAAAATGATATAAAACGCATGTATGGATTAAACACTTTTAAGATTAAAATTCCAAAGCTAAAATACTGAAATCCGAAGTTAGCCATTTTCGTTATTTATTGCATCGTAAACTGCATCAAACCTTACATTTGACTAAAATCCTACACTTATCTTACACTAATACTAAAATCCTACATTTGATTCCTCCGCTACTACTAAAATATTACATTTGACTATTCTTCTCACGAGCCCATTTTCTCAACTTAGGAAACTGCATGGATCTCATACATATTTCCTTATATATAAAATAACTAAACTTTTTACCGGGAGTAGTATGATTTTCGGCTTGATCCTCTTGCCCTTTGACACATAAAACAAAACACAAAAACATAACCACTTTAAAAATTTGCATTCTGTTCAGACTTAGAATTTGGAATCACAGAACTCTGCTAGATGGTTTCAACGTCGCCGTTCCAGTACCAGAAAGAATAGATATTAGAAGGATGTGAACCATGTCCTCTGTTGCTGCTCGTCTTTGTTTGTCTTTGCCTTCCTAATCTGCTGAAGGTAATAGAATTATATATGACATGTCCAGGATTTGCGAGTAGGACATTAAAAAGAAGATAAGAGGTGTTAGTTGTAAGGCATTGTCACCTTATAGAAGGCCATGATTTTATGCGTCTTTTCTTTATGGCTTCTACTTTCGCATTTTTCTCCCTGAAAAGATGGTGGAATGTTACATATGAAAGAATGTTTAATCTGCATTAAAACGTGTCTCGGCAGTTACCAGATACAGTAAAATAAAAGATTTAAAACTTAGCTTCTATCATTAAAATTCGAGGTTACGAGATCGTGCAGTATATTTTTCTCAGTTGTTCCGTAAACAAAAAAGAAGTTTTCCTTTTCGCGGAAACTTATACAGAAATTTTATTACTAGAATTGAGTGCAGTTGATAATTAAATAAAATAATGATTTAAAAGCACAAAAATTAAATATAAATGTTTATCTTTTTCAATTAGCTCCTTAATTTAGAAATTCCCATGGCTAATCATTAGAATATGGTAACAGGTAGTTTGGCGACATTTTGGTAAGGCGATAAAAATTACTAGCTAGGACTTTAGCAATAATCTGAGAAGTACACAGTTCGAATCAGATTATTTTGTCTCAGAGAAATGAGAGATCATGAGACATGTAATGTGACATTTTCCGGAAAATTCCGATCGTGATTTTAGCTAATAAGCACTTAAAAACAATTTCGCTGCTGAAGTGCAGAATCGCCCACTGATTTGTTTGGCGTTTTTTACAAGAGTAAGAAGAATTGATTTTTTGTCAATTTTCTTTGACTTTTTAAGTGAAAATAGGTCGATGTGTATATAGATAAAGTCAAGAGTGTGCGCAATGCCATTTTTGTGCAATTCTGGGATGATTTTTTAAGTGAAAATAGGTCGACGTGTAACGTGTATGTGGTACCGTGTATAGATACCGTGTATGTATGTGTCGATGTGTACCGTGTATGTGGAATACTTAAAAACGCGGCAAGCAGTTTGCGATTCTGCACTTTCTCCCAGTTTCGCACCTAATCTTCGTCATGATTAAGCATTTTTGTTCCATAAAAGTTCTAGTATAAGCGAAATTCGGCTAGCAGATTGTTGGAAAAAATGTTCATAAAAAAAAAAAAAAGAAAAGAAAAAAAGAAAACATGCTTTTACTTCGTGAAAACAAAATGGCGTCCAAAACAAAGCTAGCAGGTTGCTGTAGCAGCGTTGGTTGCCAAATTTTCACCAAAAACTCGCCAAGTTACCATAATGTAAAGATTCACCATTCACCTTTCATGGATGACTCCAATAGCAAACGTTAGATTTAAAACATTTTGGAGATTTACATGAAGAATACGTCATTGCGTTTATTTTAGCTTGTCTCTCTTGAACTAAAACTTTTATAAATGTAACTTAAACTACTGCCACTAACTTTAAGTTTCGTTCATTGATATCGGAAACTTAGCTATCTGTTACAAATAAATCAAACTAAAATTTCGTAAGAATTTTTCAGTGCCTCATAGATTGCAAAATTAATCATCTAAAACAGTTAAGTAGTACTTTTTATTTGTTTCTCGTATAATTACCTAAAATAATGCGTAAAAAGTTTCATTTTATGACTAAATTTATTAATAAATGGTGACCTTCTTTCAGTCTTCCTCAAAAATTTCGAGAAACATTGACATATTTTCAGTGATTTTTAAACATTTATTTGTTTTTTAAAGTTTTGCGGTTCCCTCAGAAAGTTTTAGAAGTTCAACAAAAAATATACTTTCAAAATTACTTTATAAAATTACTTACGTACACTTTGAAAAATTGCAATAATTTTAAATGCTTCCCTCCCCAAAAAATTATGGCTTTAAAAATTCCACAAAAACGCAAACTTAACTATGCCCCAAAATAATAGAGCTGTAGTTAAAAATCATGACACAGATACACAGATTATCTCAGAAATAAGACAAACTTTCAACGTTCCTTATAAACACAACAAAACAATCGTTTTTCAGTGGATCAATTCACATGTAGGTATCGACGATAACAAAAAGGCAGACTCACTAGCCAATAGAGGAACACTTGAGCCACAAGATAGCAAACCACTTCGTCCAGAGGCACTTAAAAAACCTATTTTTATAAAATAATGGATACTGTTAAACCTGACCAGGTAGCAAAATCAAGCAGGCAAATCCTGGGCTAACATTCAAGACACATGGAAAACGTTTTGTCAAAAATCCTGTAAAGAAGGCTGCGGCAAACTTCAGACAGGCAAACAAGGCACGATTGCATGGTATCCTTCCACCTAGTATATGCCAAATTTTCAATTCGGGCGTCATGAATGCATAGCATCTTTCTGTATGCCCAGAACTAGATAAAGAGTCTCAGAAACGTGGTGAGGTATATAAACTACACTGGTGTGCAAAAATTAAGGACGAAGTCGAAAAATTAGCATATCAGCTGAACGAAGAGGCAGAGCGGACAGAAAGACCAATCAGGAGATTAAGTAAGGTGATGTACGGCAGCACATGCGCAGATATGCAGGTAGACGTAATGGGGGAGTGTCTGAGTAATATAAAGCATGTTGTCGGTGTAAGATCAGTATTTCTGGCAAAGAGATTGCACGCCGTATAGCAGTTAAAATCACATCGAGTTGCTGCCTCAGCGAGAAATGGCGAATAATCAATCTGTTAGACGACATCTGGATGCTTTTACCCGAGGTCGAATCATTGGGAAGTTGGAGGAAGGCCGCAGTGTGACAAGTGTGGCTGCAGAGTTCGGAATTGCTCACAGCAACACGACTAACGACTTACATGAAAAGCAGGAGGTCTACAACTCAACCAGCAATCCACGAACACCTCAACTCCACTCGTGACCACGCCTCCTAGTGTGATGACGTTGCCTTTGGTCCCGCCCTCTGTGTGACGTCATTGGCCACGCCCACACCCCACACCGCGTGCAGCAGAACCCGTATTTTCTATCTACTCTGGTGGGCCCCAAACCGGTACTAGAAGTGAAGCACTGCTTCGAAGCTTCGGTCACCAGATGAGGTTTTTTTTTTTTTTTTTTTTTTTTTTTTTTTTTTTTTTTTTTTTTTTTTTTTTTTATTCAGAAGTTCGCTTGACAGCGCTCTGATAGTATTTCGACACACGACAGTTCTATACAAATCGAAAAACGAGACACTTCCGCATAAAAGAAACATTTCTAGTATGATGGATAATAGCAATTTGTATAGTTTAGCGACATTTACGTAAAAATGACATCTTGGTTATTTTTCGATAACTAACAACAGCGATTTTGATTATGAAATTGTTTTATAAAGTTCTAAGCTGTTGAACTATAAAAATATAGATTTTAGCAAAAACGTTATGCTTAAAGAATGAAAAATACTTCACCGTACCTTTAAAATTGTATACATTTTTCGATACCCTTAACACAGTATTCGCTACTTTTATTTTATGTTCCAAACGCCAAAATGTTTTAAATAAAATAATTTTTTTTCACATCCACATATTATTGTAACATGTACTTTTTAAAATTAGTGTAAATTACTTTACTCGAAAAATATTGTGAATGCACAGAAATTAAAGATTTCCACATGCTGGACGTGAAAAATATAAAATATGCATGGGTATTTATGCATGTGCTTCCAAAAAGCATGTATATGCCTTTAACAAAATACGTTAAATATTTATTTAAATTATTTATAAATGTATTTGAAAGGAAGGAATTTATTCACTTCATAAACAACTGTGAAAGTACTACTGTGAAGAAATCTAATTATTAAATGCATCTAAATTTATAATGATTATAAATATTATTTAAATATATATAATAACCTTAACATTGAATTGTAAACATAAATTGACATCCTGTTGACAAATACGTTATAAAACTATTTAAGCAAGAATTGTTCCTACTGGAAAGCAATCTGTTAAAACGTATTGCAAAGCAATTTCTGTGAGATGCGTACATAAGAAAGTAGAAGAGTAAGAAGAGTTTTGGAATATATAATAATGAAATTAAGGGTAGAAAAAATCTAATAAGTATAATTAAAAGAATCATTTCCCTTAGCAGTCATATATTCCCCTTATATAAGTCAGTTACAAGTTTTAAATAATATTAAAAAAATAATTCTTATTTTATTCCCTTTCAGAAATATTTAGAGAAAGTTAAGTACTATTTAAAGTATTTCCCTATTAAATGAAAAGGTGATCTAATTTGAAATGGACCGAACACAGCATTATTTATAAATTGACTTATAGTTTTCGATTTGAAAGATGCCTCAGAAGCTAAAAAAAATCATGTCATATTTGAAAAAGTATTTTAGGAAGAAGCTGTATAAATAGAAAAGAAATAATGCATAATTTTAATAATACAATAAACTTCGATCTTAATTTTTGTAATCCTTAACCCAATCAAATCGAATTACCTTAATTTTTTTTCTAATGTAATTAACCGAAACTTGTGAAAATATTTCAAATTAAACCATTCCGAGCAAACTGTTCTGTGAAAAGTATAGCATTTAATACCGTTCAGAATGAAATGTTGTTTAAAAATGTATTCTTTTCATATACTTAGGCCTCTGAAGTATTGCAGAAAAAGAAAATATATACGACGTAATTACAAAATATTTACATCCGATCGGCAAACCCATTGAACTCAATGGTTAAACCCAATGTTTGTCACAAAGAGGACCCGGCGTCAAACGGGTAGGGAACGGTTAGGCATCATTACTTCGAAGGAGGGGGGGGATGCAGCACGGGTGTGGCATTAAATGCCAAGAAAAATTTTTTTAACATTCTGAAATGTAACTGTTCATAGAAGTCAAGGCAAATACGCTTCAAATTTAATCGAAAACTCGACGCTTTAAAAGAAATGTATAGATATTAAGCAAATCGTAAAATATTTGCCTTTTAAATTTAATAATAGAACTCAGTTGTTTAAAGAAAGTGTGTTGCTCCTGTTACTACCCTGGAAGTT